TGTGAGAAAGTGTTGATTTAGATTTAGAGAGAGTGTATCATTTAACAGTCTTAAATCATGGAAAGTTTTGCAGAATTATGGAACAAAGGGTTAGTTAGTAAATATGATATGAGAGTGGTATATGAGGGAAATAAATCATGGTAGAAAATAAAGGAATATTTAGCAAATGGTTAGCAGGGAGTAAGACAAGGATGTGTGATGTCCCCTTAGTTTAATATATTCATGGATAAAATGAATAAGAAATGTTTCTAGTGACACAACTTTAGAGCTGTTTAGTTGTTGAAATGAACATGCATGTGTTCTTATGTGCAGATGATGCCATGTGGTAGCTGAGAACCCAAATGATTTGCAGCTAAATGTTAAATCGATTGTACGATGCAATGAAGAGTACTGATCTGAAAATTACTTTATCAAAGACCAAGATACAATAAAACCTTCTCCAGACCTCCATTGAACAGATGTAACAGACAAAATTTTACTTCAAGCTTCATCCTCAAATAACAAAGTTTACTGTTTCCAAAACAATCTGGAAAATTGATGTAATTGATGTCATTACATAACTGATATATTATTTGTGTCAAATTATGTCTTTGGTTTAATGTTGCGACTGACATAATTGACACAAATAACATAAAACATCAACTACTAAATTATGTAATTGACATCAATTATGTAATTTTGGATTTAATGGACATTTGGATTTAACAAATACACCTTCATCCAAATGATCCATTACTGTAGTTGTTTTACTCTAGACTTTTGTTGTTTAGCTTTATAGCAAAAATGGAGTGATTGCAAAAAAAAAAAAAAAAAATGGAGCAAGCAGGTGAATCTGTATTCCTTGGTAGAATGGTGACTAAAAATGAGAAAATGGATGAAAAAATGTGGTAGAAATGTAGTGGGTAATATACATGGTCCAATTCAAGAAATGAATGGTTGTTGAAAGAATGGAAAATGGCTATGTATAAGAGTCTACTTCTGCCTGCTTTCTTATATGGAAGTGAGAATTATGTCTGTCAAAGGAAACATCAAAGCTGAATGCAGCAGGAATGGGGTATTTAAAAGTGTGCGTTCTAGAACAAAAATTGTGGGTCAAGAATATATGGTTGCTGAATGAATATAGAAATGATTCTCCATTATGATAGAGGTACATTGACAATATTTGGTCATACAGATACACTGAATGAGGACTAAATTGCAAAACAAATATAGGAAGAGCGAATGGGGTGGAAAGAAGTAAAGGAAGATTAAAAATAAGTTTATGAAATCCTGAAAAAGAAAGAGAAGAGAAGCATAAAGAACAAAAGCCAATGCATGAAGTAGTGCCTGGATGTGGTGGAAGTAAGAATGGTTTGCAAGGACAGAAAAGTAGGAAATTATGATGGTGTACTTTTACCAATGTTCCCTTTTCTTGTTCTTATCTCATACCTTTATTTGGCTTACTATTTTTTAATCCTTTTCTGTGCTCTGCATAATGTTGCTTAACCAGAAAGGAATAGCATGATGGTGTGTGTGTGTGTGTGTGTGTGTATATGCACACATGTATGCTAAATATACTGGCATGACAGGCATAACTTCAGAATTTTCAGAAAGATTTTGGTTTTTCCCCAAACTGATACTCCTGATCAAATGCTAATTCAGTCAGAAGTGGGTAGAGTACTTTCTGAATAATATTTTTTTTTCACACTTACATGCTTCCATACAAGATGCTCTGGTGGGCTAACACCAAACAAAAGTTCAGGCCCTCTGCCTCGTCAGGAGTAAGCAGGACTGCCAGAATAAAACTGAGAGACAGTTTATTGGGTATGTTGTATCAGTTCAGGAAAGGCAGAAGACAGGCTAGAGTTTTGCTGCACTGCAATCATTATCTTTCTGAGCCCTTTATATCATTCTGTGACCTAGATCCAGGCCACCTCTCAAGACCAATTCAGTGGCAGTTTTAGGAAAGATATTCTTTTGAATCCTGTCTCTTGGGAAGGTTGCGATGTACAGTATATACTGAACCCTTGTCAGACTTTTACCCTAATCCCCTTAAAGTAAATGTTGGATGTAACATTTTCCTATTGTTGACTCTTTTTCTGTCAAACTCTGCCAACAGTAAAGCCAGCTCTGCAGTCTCCAAGACCTTCCTTCTTTTCAACACCCTTTAAGATATTTTATTAAAAATAAACTACTCAGGCAGATAAAATTCAAGTTTTTCATTTTAAAATATTTTTTAAAAAAATACATGTGGTCTGCAATGTACTTTAATATTATTCCTTTACAATGCAGTTATCTTTAACACAATTAACCAAGACCTGGTAGACCTTTCACTTAGAAGAAATTGTTTCCATGTTAATATTAAATTGCTCTTGTTAGCAGCAGCTCTCCTGGGAAAGATAACCTTTCCTGCTGATTCATTAAATGAAATTACATAATCCTGATTCTTAATGAAGTTTATTCAAGGAAATAGTTGGACCTATTTAAACTCAGTTGACCATAGAAAGGGCTGCTCACAATAGCACTGATCTACCCTTTGTGCTAGACTCAGGCCATATCATCTGAAAACCTTGTCATAAAAAAGAATGGGAAAACATTTTGTCCTTTTAGACTTGAAGGTTAAAGTCTATACAATGTGCTGATCTAGGGAAGGCTTGCTTGCATATTGGTAAGAGCGTGCAACACACTGAAAGATCAGTTACCTTTGATTTCAAGGGACAAGGCATCCTTCTGCTGCTGGGACTAAGAGTAACAGTTCAGGGTACAAGATAAAATGAGCTCTCTCATTGCACAAGAGCGCTGCTTTTTTTGCTTCCCTTATGCTAGAAGTATAACCCAATGTTATACTGTAATCATTGCTGGACTAATGGTGAGAGCCTGGCACTAACATTATCTCACACGGCTAGAAGGCTGACTCAACCAAACTGTCATTCACATGCCACTTCTAGAGCATAGCCAGAAACATTCTTTGCCTCTTAGCAATTGTTGCATTGAAGTACAGGGTTGTATGCTAAGTTTAATTAAATAATGTATGAACATAAACAAACATATCAAGGCTGTGATCTATTTTGGGATAAGCAACTTCAGGTAAATATTAGGCTTTAAAGCATTCTGCCTTCTTACCTCATCCTTTTAACTTGCTCTTTACTAAAGAAAAAAAAAAGATTTTGATACTAGAACCTGCTTCTAAATAAAAAGGCAAGAGGATTTTCTTTGGGAACACCAGTTTGCTTTTGCTGGAAATGGGAAATAGATGAAATAACAAATAAGCTAAAAATATCTTTATATAAACTGCACTAGCAATACTGTGGGCTCTTCTTTCAGATAAGTTATATGTGTGCTGAAGAATCCATATACCCATAATGCCCTTGATTTCTCTGCAAGCTTAGTACACACAGCAGCACATAGTTGAGTTGTAAGCTGACACCATCTTAGGTAAAGTATGAAATGATGTGACATGAAATGTTTGCCAGAAAGTACAAGAGGTATTTCCTGACATGTACAAGTCAAACATCCACGCAGTTCTCAGGGCCGATCCCAGTAGCCTAAAGTGGAGCTGAGTTAGCAGTACTAGCCCAAGCAACTTTCATGAACGTTTTTTTTCTTCACAAAAATATTGTACATTATATTAGCATTTTAAAACTAAAAAGGGTTTTGCCTAATGAAGAAAGAGATGCTGGTAACAGATTAAATACATAGGACTGAAACTGAATCTGGTTGTTAAGTATTATGGCCCATTAGGTAGGCTAGACAATAGCATATTCTGAGAGATTGTGGCATTACTGTGTTAATTTTCAAACAGCGGTAGTGTGCATTAACTGCAATTGGAGGAAAGATGCCCAAATAATAAAGCCATTATTATACAGATTTTTTTATTCATGAGTTAATACGTATGTGAACACAAATACCCTTCAAACCAGAGTTTTTGTTCCAAAATCACCACTGTTCTGTACACACAACTTAAATTTGCCCAGAAATATTTTACAATTTATGGCAGATGTAACCAGGGTGGGTGGGGATAAGGCCACAAAGTAGACGATACTAGCTCAATTGTGAGAGTACCTTTTTGAGAGTGCCTGCAGTTTTTATTTTTATTTTAACCGAAATAAGCCTATTTTAGGGCCTATATTTTTAATCTGTTCCCTATCTGAAGTCACCCTTGGTTTTCAGCAGCCCGGACCAGACGGGCTTGCAAGGGCCACCGTCCTTCGCCCGGTCCTCTATCCGATAATTATGGCAACTCTTACCTCAGTGAAGGCCCCTATCCTACCCTACCTTTTACACGCCAAGCATGCACTCAACTTCCCCGGCATACTTTCCCCTCTTTGCTCAAGGGACTTCTTTCATGGGGCCACCTTCAAACCACCCTCGCACCTTGCCAGACTAGACTCCCCACGGACGCAGGTGTAAACCTAAGCTACGGGCGAGGAAAATGATCGCGGGTAGATCGATGGGGGTCTGCGCCTCTCACGCCCCTGCAGCTCTCCATGGCTGCGCCCTTCGCCAAGGAAAGCCTGACCACGCTTCGTGCCTCCCGCGGCTGCTTCCAACGACTCCTCCGGAATGACTCAGCGGCTCCCGTGCCCTACTGACCTCGGAGGAGGAGGAGGAGGAGGAGGAAGCTTGTCGAAGCTCTTCTCCTT